AAGGCGGTTGGCCGCCTGCTCTTTTGCAAGCACTCGCCTAACGGAGCGACCTGCACAGGCTTGGGTGGAGGGCGAAGAGGGTTCTGCGCCTAACTGGGCTTGCAAAAAATAATAATCCAGAACAACACAGGGCAGTTAGGAGGTGTGTGTTATGTGTGTGGGGGTTGGGCATTTAGCTTGGATTGATCCACTACCGTTGCAAAAAGAGGGTGAGTTTGCACCAAGCTGCACAGCTTGGGTGGAGGGCGAAGAGGTTCTGCGCCTAACTGGGCTTGCAAAAAATAATAATCCAGGACAGTTAGGAGGTGTGTGTGTGTGTGGTGGTGGTGGTGTTTTTGGGCATTTAGTTTGGATTGATACACTACCGTTTGCAAAAAGAAGGGTGAGTTTTGCACCAAGCAAGCCAGCTCATCTCGAAATTCTGGCTTGCAGGGGGGAAAAAAACCTCACAACGTCCGGAAGCGTTGTGGTTGCGTATCTATCTGGAGGCGAGTGGGTGCAAGTCACGCTAAAACAGACTGGGAAGTAAAGCGAGAGAGCGGACGGTGTGGGCGTTTTCGATTACAAATCCCCCCCCCCCAATCTTCCGCAGGCCAGCCAACTATGCAAAGGCTGGGGATAATGGGGCTTGCGGTCCAATACGTTGCACCCGAACCGATGCAAAGGCTCAAAATCCTAAATCTATTGAGGAGGGGGGCAGATTTATTGGCCGCACGCTCTTCATAGCAATAGCCCTTGCTTATATACCGCTTGACTGGGCCTTTTATAGCCCTCTCTAAGCGGTTTATAGAGTCGGCATATTCCCCTCCCCCCCCCCCCCCCCCAAAAAAAGAAAAAAAACCCAATCTGGGTCCTTAAACTTGTTTTCCTAAGGCAGGAGGGGAGTGGCGGGGTCGCCTTTCGCGCATGCGCAGAGTGGTGGGGGTCGCCTTTCGCGCACGCGCAGCCTGGACTCTTGGGAAACTACAAGTACCGAGAGGCTTTGCAAAAGCCCAAAGCGGGGCGGGGTCACGTGACCCTCCACAACTTGCCCATATTGGGAGCCCTTGGCTGCTGTCGTTTGTTTACATGCGAGGCGGAATTTGCTCCTTTGAACGAGGCAAACATCCGTCCCTGCAGCCAACAAGCAAGGTTTCCGCTTTGGAGACTGAAATGAACGCCCGCCAAGAGGACTAGAAGCCTTAAAAGAGGCTTTTTCAAGTGGTCATCCTGCTGTCACCTTTTACATTCTACAATTGAGGCATATGATTTCCATCGTTAAAAAAAAGAAATAAAGTAAACATTTCCCTAGGAGGAACGTAAGCTTTAGTTAATACTGTCACGGGCCACGTGACAAGCCCCGCCCTCCGCAAACAAGGACCTTCGCCCACACTTTTGGAGAAAAGGATCTCGGCCCGCTGATTGGTTCAAGACACAGTACACCGCTTCCCCTATTGGTCGAAAAGGGGGAAAGGAGGCGGGAGCAAGAAGCGGGGGGGGGGAAAGGAGGCGGCTTCTGGAACGCCCCGTAGAGCAGATTCCTGTTGGCTGGCCCTCCCAGGCGAGTGGGGGAGCCGTCGCGAGCTCCGATTGGCCGAGGCCGCGCGAGAGGGGCGCGTCTCCTTTCGGTCCCGCCCTCCGCGTATATAAATCCCCGTCGCAGGGGGAGCGGGCCATCGCGGGAAAGCGGTAGGCGCGGAGCGCTCTTTCTCTGGCGGGCGTCGGGTGGCGCGCGCGCATGCGTGGCGGTGGGAGGGGGGAAAAGAAAGAGACGGAGGGGGAGAGAGAAAAAAAAGAGAGACGCCTCGACGCATGCGCGCCGGCCTCTGAGGCGAGCGGACGCGCAGCACGGCGGCTGCGCCGCGCGGGGGCTGCCGGGCCGGCGGCTCGAGCGCGCGTCCCGCACGGCGCAGGCGCAGAAAGGCGCGCCGTCGAGGGGCGGAGAAAGAGAAGGAAGAAGCGCCGTCTGAGGCGGCCGCCGCCTCCTCCGTGAGGAACCGAGAAACGGCGGCGGCGGCGGTTTCCCCGGCCAGGCATGCTCAAAATGGCCACGGACAAGGAAACCTTCCTCGTCCCGGCGCCTCCTCCCCCGTTGCTGAAGGCCCGGCCGGAAAACGAGACGCCTGAGGGGCCGTTGTTACCGTCGCCGTCGCCTCACGAAGACCCTCAACGCCGGCAAGAGCAGCTCCAGCGGGCCCGTAACGGCTTCCAGACCGGGCCTCGGGCCTCAGGCGGCGGCGGGAGCGGGGGAGGCAAACGTCGCAACAGCTGCCACGTCGGGCCTTTCAAGGCTCCGGCCTTCAAGCGCCGCCGGCGGGTCAACTCGGAGTGCGACCCGGTGCTCCCGTCGGAGTTCCTGCTGGGCGGCAACATCTTCGACCCGTTGAACCTCAACAGCCTGCTGGACGAGGAGGTGAACCGGGCCCTCAACGCCGAGACCCCCAAGTCGTCCCCTCTGCCGTCTAAAAGCCGGGACCCCGTGGAGATCCTCATCCCCAAGGACATCACCGACCCGCTCAGCCTCAACGCCGCCCAGGAGGACCCTCCCGTCTTGGCTTCGCCTCTCAAAGCCGGGCGGAAGAGGCACCGGCACCGGGGCAACAACCAGAGGGCTTTGGGGGGATCGGAAGCGGGGGGCTCTTCCTCTTCCTCCTCTGCCCCTCCCACCACCACCATCACCGCCACCACCACCTCTTCCTCCTCCTCCTCCTCCTCCTGCAGGTCCTGCCAAAAGGCGTCCTGCAACGGGGCCACCCCGCAGCCCTACGAACTCAACACCGCCATCAACTGCCGGGACGAGGTGGTCTCCCCATTGCTTCCCCTGGAGGGGGGGAGAGGAGGAGGAGGAGGAGGAGAGGGGGGGGGGGGAGAGGGGAAAGACGGGGCAGAGCCTCCCCAAGCCCAGCCGGCTTCCAGGAGCACCGCCCTGCCTTCCTCCTCCTCCTCTTCCTCCTCCTCCCACCATCATCACCATCACCACCACCATCATCACCACCATCGCAAAAGGCGCCGGACTTCTAGCAAATCGGAGGCGGCGTCGGCAGCAGGGCGGGGAGGCAGCCCCCCCCAAGCTGGCTCCCTTCCTCCTCCTGTTCCTCTTCCTCCTCTTCCTCCTCCTCCTCCTCCGCGGGCTTCCCGCCACAAGTTCCAGTACGGCAACTACTGCAAGTACTACGGTTACCGCAACCCGGATTGCGAGGACGTCCGTCTGCGGTCCTTGAAAGCCGACTGGTTCCGGGGCCGGGAGGTCTTGGATGTGGGTTGCAACGTGGGTCACCTCAGCTTGAGCTTGGCGAAGAAATGGCAGCCCGCTCGGATGGTGGGCCTGGATATCGACGGGGCCTTGATTCGCTCGGCCCGCCAGAACATCCGGCATTACCTCTCGGAGGAGGAGCAGCGGCCGTGGCGGCGGCGGCAGCCGGCCCGGGACGGCGACGACGGGGAAGAAGGGCCTAAGAAGAGCTTCCCGGCCTCGCTGACGGCCAGCCGGGGTCCGATTGCTGCCCCCAGGGTGCCCCAGGACGGGGTGGACGCCACGCTCTTCCCCAACAATGTCATCTTCGTCCAGGTGAGTATGAGAGAGAGAGAGAGAGAGCCTTGCCCCAACCCTGCCTGTATCCCCCCCCTTTTGGGGGCCAGGTGGGGTGGGGTTCACTCTTTGGGCTCCCCCCCCCCCTTAGCCCTGCAGCCCTGGCTCTCTTAGGTGTTTGGGAAGGAGGGAAAGGGGAGGGATGGAGAAAAGGAGGGGAATCAAGGAGGGAGGGAGGAAAAAGAGAGAGAGAAAGAAAAAGAAAGAAAAAGAAAGAAGGAGGGAATGGAGAAGGAAGGAAGGAAGGAATGGATTCTTTATTGGCCAAGTGTGTTTAAAGGAAAGAAGGAAGGAGGGAAAGGGAAGGGAGGGAGAAAAGGAAGGAAGGAAAGAAGCAAGGGAGGAGGGAGGGAGGAAAGAAGGAAAAAGAGAGAGACAGAGGAAAAGAAAGGAGGAGGGAATGGAGAATGAATGAAGGAATGGATTCTTTATTGGCCAAGTGTGTTTAAAGGAAAGAAGAAGGGAGGGAAAGCGAAGGGGTGGAGAAAAGGAAGGAAGGAAAGAAGCAAGCAAGGAGGGAGGGAGGAAGGAAAGAGAGAGAGACGGAAGGGATGGAGAAAAGGAGGGGAATAAGGAAGGAGGGAGGGAGGAAGAAAAGAGAGAGAGACAGAGGGAAGGAAGGAAGGGATGGAGAAAAGGAGGTGAATAAAGCAAGGAGGGAGGGAGGAAAAAGAGAGAAAGAAAAGGAAAGGAGGAGGGAATGGAGAATGAATGAAGGAATGAATGGATTCTTTATTGGCCAAGTGTGTTTAAAGGAAAGAAGGAGGGAGAGAAAGCGAAGGGATGGAGAAAAGGAGGGAAATAAAGAAGCGAGGGAGGAAAAAGAGAGAGAAAGAAAAGGAAAGGAGGAGGGAATGGAGAATGAATGAATGAATGGATTCTTTATTGGCCAAGTGTGTTTAAAGGAAAGAAGGAAGGAGGGAAAGGGAAGGGAGGGAGAAAAGGAAGGAAGGAAAGAAGCGAGGGAGGAAAAAGAGAGAGAAAGAAAAAGAAAGAAAAGGAAAGGAGGAGGGAATGGAGAATGAATGAAGGAATGGATTCTTTATTGGCCAAGTGTGTTTAAAGGAAAGGAGGAGGGAGAGAAAGCGAAAGGATGGAGAAAAGGAAGGAAGGAAAGAAGCAAGCAAGGAGGGAGGGAGGAAGGAAAGAGAGAGAGACAGAGGGAGGGAAGGAAGGGATGGAGAAAAGGAGGGGAAGAAAGAAGCAAGGAGGGAGGGAGGAAAAAGAGAGAGAAAGAAAAGGAAAGAAGGAGGGAATGGAGAATGAATGAACGAATGGATTCTTTATTGGCCAAGTGTGTTTAAAGGAAAGAAGGAAGGAGGGAAAGGGAAGGGATGGAGAAAAGGAAGGAAAGAAGCAAGGAGGGAGGAAGGAGAGAGAGAAAGAAAGAAAGCAACCTGATTTGGAACAGCTGACATCTCACCAGGAGACCTTTAACCCCATCAAACATCCACATTTGTCTCTCCTGGGTCCTTGGGAAGGACTGGAGAGGGGGATTAAAAAGGCCAAATCCAGCCTCAACCTCTGCATGACTTGGAAACCTTCTATAAAAAATAACAATGCAGCTTTGAGCCGCACCGGCCTATCTTGGGTGTTTGGGAAGGGACTCCATAGGTAGTCCAAAAATGCCACATCCAGCCTGACCACACCTGGCTCAAGTGTGCAACGAACCATAATAGTGAGAGGCCCCCTTGGGTGCAAGCCCCAAACATCTGGGAACATCCCTTGAAACGCCTTGGGCATTGACCAAATTCAGCATGGGTCCATTGCAAAAAGGCAGCTTGGGTTGGAAGAGCTGGCCTGTCCTTCCAGGGAGTCCTTCAACCACACCGCCACACACGTCTTGTCTCTCCCAGGTGTTTGGGAAGGACTCCAGGGGTGGGTAAACAGGCCAAACCCAGCCTCAACATCTGGCTGGTTTTGCAAGTGACCATAATAACAGAGCTTCCCTCCCTCGACATCATCAAACAGTCACCACCACTCGACGGACTCGCAGCCGGCTGGCACACCGTACTCAATGGGTCTTAAGTCTGCATGGAGGGAAGGAAGCAGTGGGGTTGCCACAAGGTTCCCTCTCAGGCCCAGGACTCTTCCAGATCTTCCTTAAGGACTTAGATGAGGGACTAGAAGGGGAACTGACCAAATTTGCAGGTGATACTACGCTGGCAGGAATAGCCAACACCCAAGAAGATGAGCTCAAGATCCAGAGGGATCTTGACAGACTAGAACACTGAGCCGTATCTAACAAAATGAAATTCAATGTAAAGGGAAGTCCTACACTTAGGCAAGAAAAGCCAAATGGACACATATAGACTGGGTGAAACCAGGCTCCATAGCAGGAACTGGGAGAGGGATCTTGGAGTCTTAGTGGACAACCACCTAAATAGGAGCCAGCCGCGTGCAGCAGCTGCCAAAAAAGCAAATGC